GAAATCGGCAATGACTTAGTTGCCAACCTAATAGTTTGAATTCAACGTTGATCACTCCGGGTACTAGAGCCCATCCACAGTAAAACCAAGACACAATTGACCTTTAGTTTAGTACAAGAGCTGAGACTAGAACTATCATATGAAATAAAAACGAGTTAACGCCAAGAATAAATATAAATTGGTATCGCCATCACCAACCAACCCTAAGGAAGTCAAACCAGAAAACGGGAGATCTTGATTTTCCAATAATAGTCACTTTCCATAAGAATGCAATATAAAAAATGTATGCATGAACACACTCCGAGTCTGTGTATATACACAACGAAAGACTAATTTGATCACCAAGTGCCCACAAGAGGCTTTTGGAAAGGAAGTTGAAGATACAAGACAAGGTGAGATGAAGGGAAGAGGGGGAGAAAGAGACTGAGCAAATGTGAAAAAGGAAATGCAGGGGATCATCTTCTTTCTCTTCCTCACACATACACCTGTTTGTAATTGAGGATAGGATTGGGAAGGTGCATACACATACGATACTGCTTTTAAGTATAACAAAATAAGAGGGACGGAAAACGGTTACTGTTCATTTTAAAGATAAAGACTACTGGTGTAGATGTAATAACTATACACTTCGAGCTTTCATACAGCAGATTTATAAATCCTTCCACTGAATTTTCATTTTGACTGGAGGTCTAGGTGCAGCCACAGGGGAAGCATTTTGAGAGGAATTTGTTAATGAAGATGGAGAGGAAGAAATGAGAGACGAAGAGGATTGCGATCGGAGCAACTGATGCTGTTGAGCAGTTTGCTGTGATGAAACCCTTCCACTACTAGTAGGTTGAATTCGTAACCCTTGAGGCTGAGGAGCAGAATTTAGAACCGATCTAATAGGAATAACCTGGGTCTGGTGAGAAGTACTAGGAGTAGCAAGGCGTAATACTGATTGAGGTCGAACTTGAGAGCTTGATGTGGTCTGAAGAACACCATTAACATTAAGATTGTCGTGAGAGACCCAGTTAATTCTCCTACCACGTGAAGCAAGAATTGCTGGAGGTGGCCGGTGTGAATGTGTAAAAACTCGTGACGCTGGCTGTCGTACTATCCGAGTTGATGAAGGCACTCCAGCACTATTTACAATCCTAGATTGGTTCGGTGTCGGTGTTTGAACTGCTGGTCGATAGACAATAGATCGAGGAGAGGGAATGAAAGACGAAGGCCGAATAGGAGAAGCATTGCCAATTCTAACACCGCCATTTGAACTGATGGAAGAAACAGAAGATCTTCGCGGATGAGCAATATGCTGAGCGGCAAGAGCAGCAGCATTTTTTGAGCTCCAAAACTCTCGATGGTTAACGCCTTGAGTGATAGGTAGCGAAGAACGTGATGAAAGACCTTGCAGACGCTCCTGGTTCGTTACAGTGTCAATACGCAGGGGAGACGATTGGCTATCAAATTCGAAACTACTTGGATTTGATTCAAGACGTTTAAGACAGTCGAGAACAGGTTTCACTCCAATTTGAGAAATAAGAAGACCCACAATTCGCTTGCCTTCTTCTGGCTTTAAACGTACAACCTGCATAGACACTGATTGATGAAATGTTGTCAGAGCGTGCTTCACATGCTGCCAAACATTCAATACAGCTCCACTCAAAACATAATAGGTACGCTCTCGTAGTCCGTTTTCGCAAACACCCGATAGCTTCTAAACGCAACAAAAAACTTATGGAAACGGGAAAAGCCAAAAAGTACAAAATCAACGGTCATTGGTGCAATTGAACGACATTAAATCTTAATGAATTTTGCAAGATCTATTCTATAAAACAAATATGTTATTAAAAGAGACAAAAATACAAATGGCTTCGGTTTCAAATTAACACATCAAACGCGAAACCAGACCAAGAAGCTTGAATGGTATACCTATTCATTTTATCTTGAGTTATCTACGTTAAATCCAAATCATGAGACTAATACGAATGGCATTAAAGATGATTACGAAGGCCTAATGACGTGCTCTTGTAACATTGACGATTAAGATATTTTAAGTACCTATCATTTCAAAAATGCTTCCATGGAAACTCAAATAATTGATTCAATCAAATCAAAATATTGAGGTCATATTTACGAAATGGCCACTTACACTACGCCGAGGGCACGGTTTCTTCTGAATAGCATGAATGCATTTAGTTTCAGAGAGTTGGTAGACATTAGTCCAATCCGGTTCACATTCGGTAGGAAGTGTCTTCTCGAATTGTTCAATCAATTTGCCATATTCTATTGGCTCCGACTGCATTCCAGTATTGGGCCTGTATAGCCGATACAAACGCTTTAACTTACGTCGCCTACTCCTTTCATCGCCAAAATCATCCTCATCCTTCTGCTCATAAACTTCCTCTTCTGGCTGATTTTCTTCTTTTATGCAAAAGGCAAGTGCGGGGATCTTCACAACAGAAGTATCATTCTTTGGCATATAGAACCCATCTTCGGAACCTTCATGTTGTGTGTAGATATCCATGGCTGCACCGAAAGATAAACCCCTTTGAGTAGTAACTTTGTGAAGGTATACTTCGCTTTTATCAGAGAGGAAGCGGATAAAAAAGGACTGAGTGTCAACAATTTGCAGGTTTTGCCCAGTGCTTCCAAGATCAAGAATCCCGAGGTCGAGTTTATTGCTTAACTTCGCCCGACGCCTCAACTCATTCATAGTGTCCATAAAGTACTTAAAAAGAGCATTTTGCGTACCCACATGAAGACCGAGAATTCGATTAAGGAATTTATTCATGTGACTCTTGTCCTTTTCTCGTGTTCTCTCTCCAGAAAATCCCACACTCTGAAGGCCTGTTCGAACATCGAATATGAAAGCGCTATAGGGTCGGAGAGAGGGAGCTAAATTTACAAGAAACTTTTCGTTTACACAGGAAGAAGGATTTTCAGATTTGTATTCAGCGGGAGGTCTGACGATACCAACGTGCCCATCAATGCAGGTCTTGAGAACCATGTCCAGAGCCTTTTTACCCCATTCAGTGTCAATGTTAAAGCGTGAAAGGTCTCTTGTTTCAGTGGCACGTCGATCACCATGGGTCAAAGCACCCAAAGACTCCAAACGTTTCGCTACAGCTGATGCGAAACGCTGTTCACCAGCTAAATTAGTGATCAGACAGTGATAGATTGGCGCACTAACTTGATTAGATCGATGAGTCCTACCAAACTGCTGAATGGCTCGATCGGCAGACCAAGGGAGTTCAAGAGTAATATGTACACGCCGCCTTTGATTTTCAGCACGACGATCAGCTTGCAGAGATATACCTGAAGAAGCAGCTTCAGAAACGATAGCAATTAGCTTTTCACCCCTCATAAAGTAATCCTTTTCTGTCAAATTGATGGTCTCCAAACTGCCCTCCCCGTCATTTCGAGCTTCATAGTAGACAGAGCCATCTGCTCTTTTTACAAGGCGACCACGTCTTCCTGTCATCTCTGCTACAAATTCAGGACCACCAAACTGTGCAATCAACTCATCCAGTGTTGAGTTAGGCAGGTATTTACCGAGTTTTTCAATGCTGTTTAGTAATGACATCTGCATCTCATCACATAATTTTCGGGCGCTATCTGCGCTTCCATTAAAAGTGGAGGATTTTGAGGAGCGCATTGAATCATCGGCCCAAAGGGAATTAACAGCCACAGCTTTCCGACGAGCAAGTATCGTATCAACGATATTGTCAATATTCTCGAGATCTTCTTCAGAGCTCCATTCACTTTCGCTATCTGGAGCTTGCTTTCGCCTTTTGAGTGCACCACCAGCTTTTCTGGGACGTCTTTTAACCCGCTTTACAGTACCACGTTTGGTACTTGTTAGTTCCAGGTCAGAATTATACTCATCTGAAGAACCAAAACCATTCCTTGATCTCATTTCAGAATCTCCGCTCATCGATTCATCTTCATCCTCTTCCTCTTCCTCGGAGCTGGAGTCATTGCTTGGCTTATCATCATCGTCGTCGTCATCATCATCATGGCCTTTAAGGGAAAGACCCTGAGTTGCTTTGTTGAAATTTTTTGCTCCCAGAATATCCACCAGAGTTATGCCACTTGACTTAGCGCTACCCACAGCTCTACCAGCCTGAGAAATTGTTCTCGAAGATGCACGTTCACCAGCCATCGAGAGCTTTTCACCACGGAGTGTAAAGTTCTCGACATTTGATTGAGTAGGTAAGTACTTATCAACAAGAGACTGTAGGACGCCCTTTGCAGTGGATACGAACTCACCCATTTCTGGGCCGCTCTCTTCTACTTGTTCTAGGGTCTTGGCTTCACCAGTTGATTGCAAACCGATAACAACACATTTGCCGGACCTCAGGGCTCTTTTAGCTATACGCACACATGCATCCACCTTGGCTGACATACAGAGATACTTAAAAAAGCGTTGATGTGCTGACCAAAATTGACCCCACATAGTTTTGCGGTATTTATCGTCCACATTCAAGAGACGAGCAGCCTCAGCAAATTTTTCGCATAAATAAGTCCACAAATCAGATGATTGATTGTAAACAGTTTCGAAAGATTCATTATTAATCTTTACACTGCTGATATCGACATTATCAATCTGGAAACTGACACCTTTGAAGCTCAATTGCCTGGCAATATACATTCCTCCCAATTTCATATCCATGGCCACAAGCTCCATACCACCAACCCCCATACTCTCAATAGCATCGATGAAGGAGTTAAAATCTTTGAACTTTGTGCCAGGTCCCCAAATGCCAAGGCGTGTCATGTAAGCCATATTTCGGGGCTCTGTAGCACCAGTTGCCGAGGCGTAGACTATGCGAGCGTGAGGTAAACGATTTTGCAATTCAAGCACTGTTAGACCAGTTTTTGTGGGCTTTTGGGACCCACTTGGGGTCAGATTCTTGGCGCGATGACACTCGTCAAAAACGATCTAGACAAAGGATGAAAGTGAGAAAAGGGAAGAGGAACAAATGATTAAAATAGAAGACATATACTAACCACTCCATCGAAGGATTTGCCGCACCACTGGACGAGTTGGTTTAATCGGCTTTTATATTTGGCCTTAACATTGCCACTACTCTCACCGATTAGAGAGGCATAAGTGGCGAATATAACACCTTTTTTCACCTTACCGTTCACACGGCCGGAGATTTTGGCATATTTAAACTAAAACAAAACGCGACTGTAAAAACGATCATATTTAAATTGAAAAACTACGGACAACTTATACTTACCTTGTTCAGGGAATGCACGACGGCATTATAATGACCGACATCGCATAAATCGCGCTCAGCATCTCTCTTCAGATCATTTGAAACAGAAAGCCAAAGAGCTTTCTTTCGACCTTGCATGTAATTTTCATAAATAATTGCAGCAATCTCTCTACCTTTTCCCATACCAGCACCATCACCTAATTAAAAAGCAGAGTTCAGATTTAGCTATTTCAAAAACCTAATACCCACACTTAAATACTTCTCTTATCCCAATGCCCAGAGAGAAAAAGACGGATGTAATAAAAATTTGCTAATTAAAACTAGGAAAAGGGGTATTTTACAATTGTGTGTACGTGAATTCTCAATATTACCTATCAGGAAACCGCCACGCTGTCCATTCGGTAACATAATCCTGTGTCGTTGGCATGCGTAGACCACAGCTTCCAGTTGAGCTGAAGAGAGCGAACCGCTATCAATTACCTCTTTGGGAAGATTAAGATGATAGTTAATTTCAGGAGGGTCAACTCCGGATAAAGTACTGGATTCAACAACGGCGTCTGGATGTCGGCGACCCAAATCCACTAAAACGGAAATATTTAATAGACTTATGAACGAACTATATAATATGAAAATTACGATATAAATGTACGACGTTAAAACTACCGATAAATGGAAATAAAAAGCCGGTCATTTATCGGCCCTGACAAAGTCTTTATAAATTTAGCACACAGTAGACTCGCTAATCAGTCTAGATAGAAAAGCGAGAGCTAACACGTGCGGTAATGAAGTATTTAAAACTCACGTTTAGCGGGTACGTAATCAGCATAAGTTTCTGCTTGAGTTAAATCGGTTGTATCTTCCTCTTCAAAGTCTTCTTCGACCTAAAACCCGACAATTACAAGTTTAAAAGGTCGAAGATATCCAAAAGAGGTAGAAGTTTATTCACCTCTGACTGGAAAAGTTCACGAGGATACTGTGGAGGAAATCGAGGATTCACAAGTTGAGGGTGAACGCTAGAATAACTCGGAACTGATGCATAACGGCCAGGGGGTCTGACTTGGCTGATATCATTTGTACGAATAAACCGAATGGCGGATTTATTGTTGACAACAGGGGAAACATTACGAAGAACCGAATTGCCAAAAGAAGCATTGACTCTTTGGACCTGAGAAGCTGCAGATATGGGCACAGTCTGGGCGATTGGGGCTAGTGGTGAAGGACTAGCACTCGAAACAGAAGGAAGAACAACTGCAGTTCTGTCAGACGACATTTCTTCCGGCTTAACACGAGCTGCTTGCATCGCCTCGTCCAGTAGCCAGCCCATATCTTCATCCTCTTTTTTAACTTCATCGACTGGTGGTGATGGTTTAGGTTCATCGATATCCTTTTTCGTAAGGCCCGTGAGAGCCATCTCAAAAACGGTTACATTATCCATTTCTCATGTATATCTGAGGTGCAATAAAGCGTAACTAAGGGATGGAAACCGTAAAACTTAAATAAGTCCTCGTTAAAAAACTAAATGAACCTAATTATGCTTTTACTATGCATTTAGGTCTTGCTCGAATAAATTGATCTGCACACAAAGAGACAAGCCTTATAAATATTATGGTTAAATGCAAGAGAGCGACGACCAACCCACTCGTCTGGTAACAGATTTGCCTGCCACTATGGCGGAAGCTTAGCGCTTGGTTCATTAAAAGTTTTTCAAATGATTTGAAGTGCAAACTATTAATTACTAAATGTCTACAAAGGCTTTGAGCTTGAAGATATTTTTATTTATTCATCTATTATTCTTTAAAATTTCCAAAACAATTTTACGTTTATCTTGAATTCGTTAAGGATTTAGATTTGAATGCCGTTAATTTAGAAACTATTCACGAAATTAATTTTATAGATATTTGCGTGTATGATTAATTATATTTTTATATTTGTAATCACTGCATATTTTTGGAGCTCTTAATCATTGGCTGGAAGACTGATGTTCTTATTGGGTTCCTTCCACGTGAATTTTCTGCTTTGTGTCTATTTATCTTTTTCCTATTTTATCTCCAAATTTGATGAATACTGTTCACGAATTTGTACACAGTATTCTCAACGATAATCCATACTTTAGTGCTGGGGCAGGTTTATGTGGTGTTGGCTTAGGAATGGCATTACTGCGTCGATGTGGTCAAATAGCTTCTGTAGTCATACGTCGCAATCTAACGTTAACCTTGGAAATCGCAAGTCATGACACTTCCTATCAATGGGTTATGCACTGGCTCTCAAGGCGGGCTCGATCTTGTCAAGGAAATAGGTTTCAAAAAGGTGCTGGACAGCATTTAAGTGTTATAACAAGTGTTGCTCGCACGGAAGCAGGTCGAATCAAGGCGGCTTTTGATTTCATTCCCAGCACTGGTATTCACTATATCTTTCATCAAGGTCGAATATTACGCGTTGAACGTGTGAGGTCTCAGCAGTCGCTTCAGGGCGCATCTGTAGCGCCGTTTGAAAGTGTAACGTTGACAACGCTTGGTTTCGATACTAAAATTTTCACAGACATTCTTGAAGAGTCCAGGCAAGCTGCTTTTTTAAAAGACGAAGGATGGACTGTTATTTATAAAGCCTTTGGAGCCGAGTGGCGTCAGTTTGGTTATCCTAGACCAAGGCGACCTCTAAACTCCGTTGTTCTGGGTGAAGGTGTAGCTGAGACGATTACGGCAGATATCAAGGAATTCATAAGTGAGTTTTAATCACCTCTTATTCTGAATGAAATCTAGACAGTTCAACTTGGTATTCTGCTCGAGGCATACCTTATCGACGTGGCTATTTGCTTTATGGTCCACCGGGATGTGGTAAAAGCAGTTTTATAACTGCCCTTGCTGGTTGGTTCCATGTCTTCATATTCTTTATCAATGACTCCCTATCAAAGGTCACTTGGAATATAATATTTGCGTGCTTAATCTCAGTGAAATGGGCATGTCAGCCGATCGCTTGGATCATCTTCTTACTCATGCTCCTTTGCAATCGATTATCTTACTCGAGGATATAGATGCTGCTTTACCCAGCCGAGAGGAAAATGTCGATATGGGCCAACGTTGTAAGTATTCTATTTCGATAAATCTTCCATTATCGCTTAGCATGTCTGTCGAAGAAGTCAGTATCCATTTGATATATTAACATCCCTCCAATCAGTGGTTAAAATCGATCGTATTTGTTTTTTTTCTCAAAGGAGGCTCTTTTATACTACCCTTCCATCGAAGGCAATTATTGAAAAAGTCTTTATTATAGTTTATGGTAGTTACTATTTGACCAGTTTGTTGACTGTGAACTTATGTCATTATCGGTATTTCCTGTTCCATCAAACTTTAATTTTTATGGAAAGATCTATTATCTTTGTTTCCTTAAAACTGGAATTGGAGAACTTTGCTATTCCTTCCTTTCTTTTATCTCACTTAACTCCAATGTTTATTTATTTACTTGTTGGATTTGTGTCCTGGTTTCTTTACGTCATTTGCTGCTTCTCTTTTCTTTTCATAGAAATCTTTTTGCTCTTATTTACACGCTCCCCACACAATCTTGTTAATCTATTGTTTTGTGGCTCTAATTTAGTGCTGATTGATCGAAATTGGTAAGAGCATTGATAGATTGTTCTTACGTTGTTACTTGTCGTTACCAATCGGCTTGGAAACGTCACAGTGGCAATTTTACTTTTGTAATCAATTTGAAAGAAAATATAAGCACGATATCAGAATTTAAGACTAATGCAATCATTTTCTTAAATGTGGTAACAGCCCTTGCCACAAGATATGTCCATTTTTCCATTTTTGTTACTTTACAATTTGATCATCCCCTGGGTTTACTGCCTGAAGTACTCAAGCGAATAGTGGTTTACACTTCAAATCATGTTTTTGATTTGGCTGCAAATCACTTCGTCATTTTCATAGCCTATGAATCGGTCTTGACTCTACTCGAGTTGTGGCTAGGAAGCTTAAACGAATATGTTTGTAGCGCTAAAGAGAAGCTCACAGGTTTCACCTCTTACACATCTGGTTATGTAAGACCACCTGCAGTTAAGCTGTCAAGGCATTAATTGAGTGTCCATGCGTCCAATCATTCACCACATCCAATCGTCGTTTGAGAAGTTTGCCTCTTAGCTTTACTCACTTCTCGTCTTTTAAATCTTTCTCTCTTGGTCTCTCTGTAGATGGTCGGGCCTATGAAGGAATGTCCTGTCTAACTATGAGCGGTTTACTCAATGCTTTGGATGGTGTTGCCTCGACTGACGGCCGTATCCTCTTCATGACTACTAACTACTTCAATAGGTGAGTCAATCCTATCGCTATAATTAGGAAGACCTAGGTGCACTCATAGTTGACATCATGTTGCTTGTAACTGTTGAATAGTGGAGTAGTGGGTCTTATGCCCCTCTTCAGAGGCTGTTTAGAGTATTGATTTTCTCTCTGAGGTAAGTATTGAAAAATATTTCCCGTCATCGAGCTGGCTATAATTACAATTTAGAAAGATTTTTAAAGTTTTTGTTCTCTTTCTATCAGATCACATAACAGAACCGATAAGACTGATGACATTTATCTATTTGTTCGTATAGCCGTAAAGTTGGATAAGTTAATCTTAAAAAATAAATGAAGAGCAAATATTGGTTGACACTGAGAGAGCTAGTTCCAGTCACTTATAATCCGTGGACCTTTCCCTAATCGAGGGTGAAGGTCTGATTAGGGTTTGGAAGAGGTGACTGGAGATAGGGAATTCTTTCAACCTCCCTCTTTGCAAACACCGAAGTTATAGGAGGCCGGTGGTGGTGAGTTTATATTTGCTATATACCAGAAAGATATCTTTGATTCTACTAGTAAAGATTTCCAAAGAGTTAGTGGCACATCGATCACCGCTTACTTCTTCTAGTCAAGGTTTACGGGTTGGATTCCCGTCATCGCGATTCCAGTAAATGGAAGGTCCAATCGCACCAATGAAGGGAGTGACGGAATTCGAATCACCTTGACGCCACTCTACTCAAGGTAATAATTGGTAAAGCCTTTCCTAAATGAGGTTGTGACTTGAACTTTGTGTTTTCCACATTTTACGTTCATTTTAGCCAACTTACTTCCACACTAGGTTGTAGTGATTGTTAGCTTTGCCAACTTCCAATTCGAAAGTAATTGGAACCATGCTTACATATTATCATATGTAGTCACTAATTGAAAGGAACGTGATGTTCTCATGGGTCTGACTTATTCAATATTTACAATTTTGTTTTTTTGGCTTCACCTTCAGAACTTGCTGCATCATCAGTTGTAGAATGTTTGTTTTCTCGTTCTCTACAACTGTTGATTGACATCGAATTTTAATCACTAAATGTACTTTTTATAGGTTGGATCCCGCACTGATACGACCGGGTCGAGTGGACTTCAAAACAGAAATAGGTCTCTGCACGGAGGATCAACTCCGTCGAATGTTTTGCAGATTCTATCCCCATGGAACTGAAGTAAATGGATCGCCTACTTCTCAACATCCCTTGGCTGCCACTTTCGCCTTCACCCTGGGTCCAGATCTAGTTAGCGCGGCACAGGTCCAGGGTTTCCTTCTTGTACATAAAGACTCGCCGCACAGTGCCATGGATGCTCTGCCGCAATTCAAACAGGAATGTCTCGCACAACGTGAAACGCTGCGATCCGGTGTTTAAAGAGTTTAATGACAAGTGGTCAGAGTAGTTTTCTAGTTTAAGCCCTTGTAGATACCTAATATATTGACTTTGGAATTTTATTTCCTTTTAAATCAATAGAACGCTTCTTTTATATTCCAAGTGTCATCGTTTTTAAGCTTAATGGGAGGTTAACCTTATCTTGTTCTGATTAGTCCTGCGATTAGTTTGAATATTCAGAGTATTGGTTGTAATTGTTCAATGCGTTTTTGGATTCTAAACTTTCGAAGTACTGTTGGGATGGTAGTAGTATATATTTTGTTTGTTTAGAGGTTGCTAATTTTCATTAACTTCCTGTAATACATAGACTACTATGTCGGATCAAGAAGGGGGTATACCCTGGGCAACGTATACTCATACGGCAACAAAAGTCTATCAATTGACTTCTAGCTACCTTGACCAAATTGTATCTCATTCCACCACTTTCACAGTACTCACCTTACCTTTTTCTCTACTTTTGTTTCTGTTTCTTACATATTTGCATTATTCTTCTATTCCTCCTCTCGACTTTTTGTGACTTCGATGTTCCTTTCCTCTTTGAATCCCGAAGTTAACTAATGAGCTAATGATAACTATCATGCAGCCTGCCATTTGATATAAATTAAATGTTTCATGAATGCTTCATTCGTCTCAATTCTTTTGAATCCTTCTCCTTATTGTTTGACCAAATTCGTTCTGAATTGACTTGTTCGTAAGTCGCGAGAACACCAGTATATGGCGCGCCTCTTCTTATTTTCTGTTTGTTCCGGACCATTGTTGGCCATATGTACGAATATGCAGGCTATTTTTCATCTAATATCGGATGAAGTGTCATCCTGGAGATCAGTATAATATGTCCTATCACCTTCCTTCCTTTTTCTTTCACTAATTGATATTGTGT